AATCCTCCTGTCTCAGTCTTCTAAACTGGGATGACAGTCAAGAGCCACCATATTCAGCTGTCACGTCACTTCTTCCCCAACTCCTACCACCTTCCCCCACCCTCTGCACTCCAGCTACTTCTTGCACCTTCTCAAACAGATGCTGGTCGTTCCCTCCACTGAGACGCCTCCTCTGTCCACAGGCCCGACTGCCTTCCCTCCTCTGAACTCGCCCCACTGAGACGCCTCCTCTGTCCACAGGCCCGACTGCCTTCCCTCCTCTGAACTCGCCCCACTGAGATGCCTCCTCTGTCCACAGGCCCGACTGCCTTCCCTCCTCTGAACTCGCCCCACTGAGATGCCTCCTCTGTCCACAGGCCTGACTGCCTTCCCTCCTCTGAACTCGCTCCACTGCCATCTCCTAACGACCTTCTCAACTTCAAATTGAAAGAGCCATCCAGAGCTGGAGAGACGCTCAGCAGTTAAGAGCACTGGCTGCTCTTGCAGAGGACCTGGGTTCAGTTCCCAGCACCCGGTTGGCAGCTCACAACCGTCCCTAACTCCAGTTCTAACGGATCCAACACCCTCTTCTGACCTCTTCAGATACTGCATGCATGTGGTACACATACATACAAGCAAAACACTCCTATTTTTTAAATTTATTTTTATTAGTTTTAATTATGTATAGACGTGTATGTCTGTGTGTATATGTGTGCATGCAAATATAGGTACTAGTGGAGGCTGGATGTTCTTTTTTTTTTTAAGCCAACTTTGTTTCTAACCTGGACTATTATAACCGTCTCTGCCTCATGCAGATATGCACTGGGACAGAGTGATATTTACCATGAAGTCGTTGCCAAGCTTGTAGTCTCCAATGCCATAATTGTATGTCAGTTCTGCAACAAAATGATCATCCTCAGGCCCGAATCCCACCATTGTTTTACTCCATTTCCCATCATAAGGCCTAAAAAGAAAAAAGGTAATGCTCAGTGGCCACAGGAGAAATCTGCTTCCTACTTTGGGACACAGTGAGGTGGCCAGTCCCTTTGGGTCCCATAATTTCTAAATATGGATGAGATGACCTCTGAAGGTGCTGACAGCAGTTGTGGACAGCACTCAAGCACCACAACCACACACTCCACAACCACGCACTCCACACACCGTCCATTTGGCACTGACTTAAGGGAAAGATCTAGTTACCTTTAAAAAATGTAGGGAAAGCGAGTGCTAAAGGCAGCTCTCTAGTCTAACCTCAGACAATGTCTTTGCATATCAGTAAGCATGCAAATCCTAATGGACCTTGGAAGCTTTCAACTTGCTGTGGATACTAAGCTCAGGAGACACTCAGCCCTTCCACTACCCACTGCACGAACTTATTTGTGCCTGTAGTAAAATATGAAAAAATATCTGTCTCTGTTAAGATTCCTGGCATAGAGCTCCTTAAGCCTTAGGATTCCCTGTTAAGTGGGCCTTGTATTCATGAACTCCTTCTGGAATGCCTGGGTTTACCATAATGAACTGACTGAAGGTGAGGTTGGATAGCCTGAGGATTTGCCTGGTTGTCAAAAAGACCAAAAGATTAGAATGTTCAGCCACATGCACCTTTGAGAAGGGGAGGGGTGGAGAGGAAACACTATAAATCTGTGTAAAAACTATTCAACGAGATCTGACAAGTTTGTGGGTTGCTGAAGCCATGGAGGTGCTGGGGTCATGGAAGCGACTGGAAGTACCACCCCTCTTCTCTCCGTACCTTTCTGCACACAGCTCTTCTGCTTGGCTCTTCCTGATTTGTATCCTTTATAATAAGCCAGGAAATGTAAATAGTGTTTCCCTGAGGTCAGGAGGAGGGGCTACTATGATTTGTAGCTGGTCTCACAGACCTCCAGATACATAAGGAATTGTTAAACAGTCAGAGAACTGGCTGGAATTTGGAGTACTGGAGAACTGCTTGCTGTAGCTGAAGTGTTGTGTGAAATGCCAAGAAACAAAGCATGAGTCCCCACTGCTGTTTAGGTAGCTTCCCTTCTTTCTTGCCTCCTTTTAAAAATTATTTATTTATTTATTTCCTGATTTATCCCACTGTATCATACTCAACTTTGAGAAAGTGTGTTCTGCTCGGGAGCTATTCCAAACCTAAGATTTTAAGACACGAGTTGCCATACCCATTACATGCAGCTTTGCAGCCTTCTTCAAATTCCTCATGGCGTAGAACCTGTAAAGAAAATAGACTAAATTGTAAAGTTTGACTTTTTTTGGAGTGCTGGGGAATCCAAGGACTTGTGTTAGACAAGCGCTCTGCCGCTGAGTGACACTCCTAGTCCTTGATTTTTACAGACTGGATCTCACTGTGTAGTCCAGTTGATCTCAAACTATAAGCCTCAGCAGGCCTCAGCTCTCCACATGCTGGGATTGCCGGTGGACTAGTATTGTACATGGCACATTTATACAAACTAAAAGGGCAGAACATAAACATTGCCAGTTTTACTAAGAGAAACAAACAGAACTTCCAGATGCAGCAGAGGTAAGAAGAACATCTTAAGCAGGGCATGGTGGCACTCGCCTTTAATCCCAGCACTCAGGAGGCACAAGCAGATGGATCTCTGTGAGTTCAAGGCTAGCCTGGTCTGTGGGGTGAATTCCAAGACAGCCAAGGATACACAGTGAGTTGTATTCTCAAACAGGCATGAAATCTCTTTGGAGTAGGAAGCCACCTGTGGTAGAAAAGTGTGTTCAGCAGTAGAGAAGTCTGGCTGCAGTGTGTAATGCTGAGCAAGCTGTTTCAGGTTCTCAGTCTCAGACTGAGTGTGAGAACAACTATGTTGGTGAAAATGGACAGCCTGTTTAAGCACCTAAGACAGAAGCTAGAATAGAGAAGGCTCTCAGTTTCTTAGTTTCTGCTCTCTGCTTCGTTTCTTCCCCCCCAAGACATTGTCTCAGTAAAGCAGCACAATTTGGCTTTAGACTTACTGTGTAGTATAGGCTGACCTTGAGCCTCCCAACTGCTGGGATTGCAGGAACAGGCCAGCACATTAGCTGCTTTTCATTTTTGATTCCTACTGCTCCTGTTCAAGTTCCATTACTTCCCTCAAAGATTACAAAAATCAACTTCATTAGCTGGGCATGGTGGCACACCTGTAACCCCAGCACTCTGGAGGCATTAGGCAGAAGCATAATTCAAGGGCAACCTGAGCTACTTACTGTCCCCCCCAAAACCCACAAAACTTATTGATTTCTTTCCTTAATACTACCATAAAAAATAGACCCCTAAAGCATCGCTGATGGCACCACAAGACCCCCCTCACTTCAGCATAAACTCAAAAGTGCTTTGCAAACATAGCATTCGAGACAATACCAGAAACAGTTCCAACCTGTATGTTCTCACATCCCGTCTCTTCGTCTAGCTAACTGCACATAAAATTAGTGTCATTTCCCAAATATCTCCACATAACCTTTTCAGGTCTTCTTGGTACGTGGAAACCCTACTTTCCAAGGTCAGCTTGAATGCAAGGCCCCCATTATTTACTTCCTGATAACCCAGGCTGGCAAATCTCTCCTCTTGTATTTATAGCATAAAAGTAGCTAATACTTTACAGAACACAACTATCTATGAGTCAAGTACCATCTACATAATAACATGTTTAATCCTCACAACAATCTTTTAATCAACGAAGAAACAGAATAATGACATATAGTACCACTAAACTCTGACTTTCCATGACTGTTGGTTACAAATCTAATTTCCCACATCATGTGCTCTAAATGGGAATAAACACCAAAGTCACTTGAACCTTTGTTGCCAAACCTTAACATGGTACCCTGAAACAGCAGGTAGGTAGGTGTGTGAGTGTGTCTGTTTGTCTGTCTGTCTGCCACATATCAGATCCCCTGCAGCTGGATTTACAGACGATTGTGAGCCACCCAACACTGGTGTTGGGAACCCACTTCAGATCCTCTGGAAGAGCAGTAATCACTCACAAAGGCCGAGCCATCTCTCCAGCCCTTAAACAGCAGATATGTCTATGATTAATCAATTCGTGTTGATTGATTAATTTGTGTAACTCCCTTTGCACTCCTTCTGTATCATCTCCACACTAAGCTGGATTCTTGTCCCTACAAACTAGTCTGCATTGGTGTGTTCCCTACTTCCCTGACTTAACAAAAGCTTCGCAATAAACCTCCACATTTTCAGCTAAGTGACCCCTTTAGAATCGCAGCGTCTCGGACTCTTTCGGGGTATATGAAAGGAGACTAGATTCTGACCTCATACTTAAATCTTGGCTGTCCAGAGGAGAGCCAAGAGTAACTACGAAAGAGACCACTCGGTCCTGCCCTGACAGGGGATGTTCACTAGTGCGATAGCGGAGTGCTTGCTTAGCATGCAAGCAAGACCATGGATTCCATTCCCAGAACTTAAACTTTAAATCCCCAGCCCTGACGGAAGCCGAACTTTGAATTTGCTGATCACACCCAAACGTTTCAAACCAGAAGAGTCCGCTCTGCCGTGAACTGGAAGGGACTATTTCATAACGTTTTGCCTGCCAATGCTCCTTCACGATGGACTACAAGCTCTCCAAGCCAGGAGTGTAATACATTTGTCAAGGTCTGTAGGCGACGGAACGTGCGCGTAGACAACACAGCTGGTAGGTCGGCGCCCCTTCAAAGGCTTCCCAACCCGAAAGCGGGGGCTCGCCCAAGTTGAAAAAGCCGCCGTGCCAACCCGGAGTCGCGGGCCTGGCGGCTGAAGGGGCCGCACGCGCATGGCGTCCTCCCTCCCAGGAGCGGCTCGCGCCGGCCCCGCTCGGCCCCGGTCTGCACCTGCATCCCCAGGACATCTCGGAAGAAATGCACCGTCTGGAAGCGGTTCCCCACTTTGAATACGAAGTGCAGAGCTCGACGAGTGGCCATGACTCCAAACCGCCGAGACCGAGTCACGGGCTGAGCGCCACGCCCTCCACCGACCCAGGCCGACCGTCGCGTGACGTCACTAGTACGCGCCAGCGCGCTGGCGTAGATGAGCAAAGATGGCCGCTCCAGTGAGTGGCATGTGGTGCTCCCTGAGACCGCTGCTGCGGGTGGTCCAGACTCGGGACCTCGAGGCGCGGCGCTGGGTCCGGGCGCTGCGGCGCAGCCCGGTGAGAGTGCTGTTCCCCTCCGGACAGGTGGAGGAACGGAAGCGCGCTCCTGACAAGCAGCCTCGCAAGGCGGTCCCCGAGGCCAGTGCTCAGGAGCAGCGACATAAACACCCTCTGGAGACCTCCCCATCCCCATCGACACCTCACACCTGGGAAGAAGCAGGGCTTCGCTATGATAAGGCCTTTCCCGGGGACAGGAGGCTAAGGTGATGTGTGCTTGAGGCTTGTCGACTATTCCCGCGTCTCTTCCCTGCCGCACAGCGGAGCCTCTGGCTCTTGTTTGTACTGTGCAAAAAAAAGAAAAGGGAAAAAAAAAAATGCCTTCTTTGAAGTTTGTGCCTCCGCCAAGCACTGCGTGGTCTGTTAGAACTACATGTGTCCCCAAGACAAGAACGTTAATAATCACCCTTCTCTGTGTCCATCCACAGCAATGTCATGACAATAGTTAAGTCCAGGTCATTTCGGGAAAAGCAAGGGAAGATCCTACTGGAAGGTCGCAGGCTGATTGCAGATGCTCTCAAGGCTGGAGCTGTGCCGAAAGTGTTCTTTTTTAGCCGTCTGGAGTACGTCAAGGAGTTGCCGGTGGATAAGCTGAAAGGTGTCAGCCTCATTAAGGTGAAATTTGAAGATATCAAGGATTGGTCCGACCTAGTAACGCCCCAAGGAATAATAGGTCGGTGACTTACAGCGAATCACTATCTAGAATTTCTTTTTCATACAAGTGTACTATCCTAGACTTTCTTGTTCATACTTGTCTTAAGGCAACAAATTTTATTTAAATCAAGTTTAAAATGTTGTTGGCTAATCTTAGATGTCTAAAAAATACAGTTCTCAGGCCTGTGTTTTAATTGTATTTTTTACTGACAACCGATCCAGTTTTTCACCGGTTTGTTTCGTTTTTGCTTTTGTTTTTTCGAGACAGGGTTTCTCTTGAGTAGCCCTGGCTGCCCTGGAACTCAATCTGTAGACCAGGCTGGCCTCGAACTCAGAGATCTGCCTGCTTCTGCCTCCCAAGTGCTAGGATTCAAGGCGTGCGCCACCACCACCCGGCTTTCTCACTGATTTTTATTATACTTTTTGTTTATTTTTGACAAAGTCTCATGTAATCCAGGCTGGATTAAAACTCTGTATGTAGCTGAGGATAACTTTGAACCACTGATGCTGTGTCTTCTACCTCCTTCCTGCTGGGATTACAGGCATGTGTACCACCATGCCCAGTTTTTTGTTTGTTTGTTTTATGGTTTGTTAACACACTTTACGGGCTAGCCTTGGTGGTGCACACCTTTAATCCCAGCACTTGGGAGGCAAAGACAGGTGGATCTCTGTGAGTTTGAGGCCAGCCTGGTCTACAGAGTGAGTTCCAGGATAGCCAGAGCTACGTAGTGAAACACTATCTCAAAAAACCACTTTACTTATTTTGTGTGCATGTGTGAGTGCATCAGAAGACAATCTGTGGGAATCCGTTTTTTGTCTCTACTCTGTGAGTCCTGGACATCCATCTCCGGTCATCAGGCATGACAGCAGGTCCCTTTACCTGCTGAGCCATCTCGGAGAATTACTACAGGTTCATCTTCAGCTTCTTGCCTAGTTTCTCTCTTTCCTCCAGATACTGCCCTGAAAACTGTATGCTTTCAGAAACAGTGCAGAGATCATTAAATGAGAGCATTTTTCATCAAGGAAGCCACTCAGGGTTTTCATTTTTTTAACACCCCAGCCTATTTGTGAGGAGAGAAGGGTCACTAGGTAAGTGATTCTGCCCCATCTAAACTTGCCATGCATTCTTCTGCCCTCAGCAGGAGACCTCACAAATGGCTCGCTCCTCACACCCCCACAGCCCTTGCACATGACTCCAAGGCAGTACTTCTCTGGGCTGGGCTGTTTGGAAGAAGAGTCATTACTTTAATGAATTTATTTCCTGGGAATTTTTTTTTTTTTTTTTTTAATTTTAAGACAACGCAGTGAAGGACAGCTGTGTGGCTAGTGTTTAAATATTTAGGTTAAGCCTGCAAATTAAGTAAAACAAAACCCCAATGGGAAAAAGGAGAAAGAAAAAAAAAAAACATAAACAAAGACACTAGTGTAAAGGGGTCACAAGTAACCAGGTGAGTGCAAAAGATGTTCACCTCCCTAGTCATCAGGGAAAATGCAAATTAAAATGATGAAATGCTATTTTTTTTTCTATCAAAGTAGCAAAAGTTAAAAGTAAATATGTGCTCCGTTCAGCAGGCTTTGAGGGAGGAGGCATATATTTATCATTCTAGGTCTGGATAGAGTACCATAGCCTGTGAGGAGGGCAGTTCCATGTCATCTGTTAACATGAAGAGTACTTGTATACTGTACGTTTGTTTCATTTACAGAGTTTGTCCCAGAGAAGTTTTCAGGTGTCTGCAGAGAGAGGCCTCTGGCTACTCACTGTAGCACTTTTTTTTGAAATGAGGACAGTTTAAATCTTTAACGTCAATATGGAAAGAGCCAAACTTTGACACATATTACAAAATACTACAATATTTAGAAAAATACAGTAGCTGCAAATATACTGACATGGTAAATTTTTTTAAAGATACATTGAGTAAGATGAGCAGATTACAAAACAAAGTTTTTTTTATTTGCTTATAGATACAGGTTATATAGATGCCAGTTTTTAATTTTAAAATGTTATATGTATGAGTGTTTTGCCTGCATGTATGTATGTGCACCATGTGTATGCCTGGGCCTACTGAGGTCAGAAGAGAGTGTCAGATCTCCTGAGACTGGACTTGTGAGCCACTGTGTAGGTGCTGGGAATTGAACCCAGATTCTCAAGAGCAGCAAGGATTCTTAACTGCTGAGCCAACTCTCCAGCCCCTGTATGTCAACTTTAACATTTGGTTTTGGGTCATGTAGAAGTACTAGAGATCAGCTCCAAAGCTGTAAGCATGCTAGGCAAGTGCGGTACTACTGAGGACATCCCAAACCCTTGTTCTTCTGTGTGTGGCAGTGTTGCTCTGTAGATTATGATGACCTTAAACTCTCAGCCCTCTTGCTTCCAGCCATCTGCCACCACACCCACAGTGGTTTTTGTCAGTGCTGAGAAAGCATGGGAAATGTGCCGAAACAGGTGTGTGCGTAGAGTTCAGGAAGGAGACAGTTTAGAAGCAGATCAAGTAGGATGGGCAAAGCACTGGTAGAAATTCTATTGTTTGAAATTTTGCGGTCATAATGTATTCCTGTCTTATATCGATCAATCCACGTGAGTCTATTAAATGGGTAACAGGATTCATTAAGATATAAATTGAGAAAATACACTCACGAATACAGAACAGAGTAGACAGCTGAAGTTGTCCTCTGATCTGACCAGGAGTGAATCTACCTCGCAGGTAGGAGCAGGGAGAAGGGGCATGTGACCCATCTCAACTCCTAATAAGAGGTCACCAACAACAGCAGGAAGCACCACCGCCTTTGGTCATGGGCAGAGCAAATACCACTACACTGTCTTCACTGGGTGATTGTGAATACATAAAGGAAGATAGATAAACAAAAAAGTCAAACCATTCTCGTGTCCACTCAAGCAAATCTCTTGTGTTGTTTCCTCAGGGATTTTCGCCAAACCTGACCCTGTTAAGATGACATATCCAAAGACTCAGCTTCACCATTCACTGCCCTTAGTGTTGATTTGTGACAATCTCCGGGACCCTGGGAACCTGGGGACAATTCTGAGATCTGCAGCTGGAGCAGGCTGCAGTAAAGTCTTACTCACCAAAGGTAAGAACACATTTTTTTTTTTCAAGGTTTATTTTATTTTTAATTATGTGCACATGTGTATGTCTGTGTGTAGGCATGTGCAGGTACCTACAGAGGTCAGAGGTGCAGGATCCCCTGGAGCTGTAGTTACAGGCAGTTGTTGGCTGTCCAGTTGGGTTCTGGGAGTTAAGCCCTCATTTGTAAGGTTCTCTGTAGGAGCAGTACACACTCTTAAGTGCTGGCCATCTCTATCTCTCCATCCTGGTAAAAGCACCTCTTCCCCAGTGGTTTCCCTGGACACTTTTAAGTGAGTTGGGGTTCAGGACAGACACTCATGGCTCTGGTTCTTTGATCTGCCCTGGGCTAACTATATGCCCATAAACAATATGCTAAATGTCAACCCCCTCATCTGTAAAGTGGGAATAATAAGAATCTTTCTTCTTCATGGTTGGTTTTTGTTTTTTTTAGATTACTTAAAATGATGCAAATAAGGATTCAGGAAATGTTGCTCATCTTTTAAAGTTATTTTGAGACCTGCTGAGCTGTTTCAGAATTTTAAGTCATTTGGGGGAAGAAGTAGATTCCAATTTTATGAATGTACATTAATTGTTTATGCCAGATTTAACACTTGGTTTCAGATCCTGTGTTTATCTTGAGTTCTCAAAGTCTTCACAGTGTACAAATATCCCACAACACCCTTCCTAACTTCCCTTGAGTTATGAATCCTGTGGAAGGAAAGTTGTCACCAGAGTGATTATGTGTCCTGGTACATCTTTCTTAGCCTTGGGGGAAATGTAGTTACACAAGCCACTCACAAATTAGCCTTATTACATGTGTATCTTTTCTCACCAGAAGGGGATTAATAGGCTTGGTTCTAAACATACCTGACTAGCAGTTGAGACATGTCAAAAATACCTCTTATACCCTGGGAGTGGAGTGGAGGGAGCATATCACTCATCAGAAACACCAAAGCTACTATTAAATATAAACTAATAGTGTGGCCATTGCCGAGACTTGCCTAAATTGCTCCTTTCAACTCTCCCCTGACTCACTCTGTCCACGTACGGTTCTCTGGCAGCGTGAGAACCAGTTGTTGATGTTCCATTTTTCAGTACCTCACTCACTCCGTTGTTGAGTGCTCTGATAGCAGTGTGGTTTTGGAAATGTGTTCATATAGCCTGTATAGTTTCCACTTGTTAGCACTGGCTGGTGTCGGGAGGTAGGGGAAGGATAGGGCATAGTTGGTATGATGCCCAGCGTCAAGAATATGAGGAGACGGGAACTCTCATCTTTTCCTTCCTCCTTACTGGATGAAGGAGTGAAACTAGACAGCTGCTCTCACAAATCTAGACCCATCTAGTCCTTTCCTTCCTCTTGGCCTATAGCCCAGCTCCCATCTCTGGTCCCATGCAGTGCATGGAAAAGCCCATAGGTGGGGATATGTCTAGGCATGAGTACATTCTCTGTGTCTTAGCCTCTTCTCAGAGTTGGTCTGACTGATACTATAGTCTGACAAGTTAACTTTTAAAATAAGGAAACCTTGTGACAAGGTGAGATGCCCTCCTTCAGCTTGCCTGTGGTGAGAATAGGCACAAAGAGAGGTCAGGATCTGCTGGGCAGCCAGCACAGAGGAGCTCTTACTGGATGTTACTGTGTCAGAATAGGCTCCTCTGGCCTTCTCACTGCAGTGTGAGGGAGGGCCGGAGGCAGGGACAGGGCTACCACCTAGTTTGGGATCCTGCTTCCTCCTGGACTGCTGCATGAACTTCCTCCCTGATTTCCCCATTGTTAGTGAGGGAGACTGCTCTCGTCCAGATTGAATACTGAAGTCAAATGGATATTTCTACAAAACAGTCAGCTTCTGTCACGGGTTTGCTTAAATCCTTAGGTGGCATATTCTTGCTAAAATTTCACGCTCTTTAGTCTAGTACACTGTTTCCATTATTCTGACCACTGGTCTGGCTCCTGCTCCTATTCCACCCCACCCTCCCTGCCTATCAGGCATGCTTGCTTACACTCCCTGTCTCTTTGTCCTCTGCCTGGACCTCTCTCCAGCAAGATTCTCTTGTCCCAAAGGAGCCAGCTCAGTGTCTCTTAGATGTTTAGTGTTTTTTTTCTGGAAAACCCGGCTTTGTATAGGGTTGTCTTTTACCCCATCCATGCTTCTTTCTCACCAGTTAGCACTGATACTGCAGTCACCTGATTCAATGTCTTTCCAGTACCATCACCCAGCTGACATCTCGAGTTCCCAGAGGTCCTTGGTGGTATTCTAATCCCCATTGCATCCGTGCAATGCCTGGCCCTGTGTGCGGATGAGATGAGGAGAGTCTCTTTCCAGCAGTAGCAGCGGTCAGTCTTCCAGTCCCTCTGCTGGGCCGTGTCATCGAGCGGGAGGCTCCTGGTCCCAGCGATGGCGAAGGCTCTCATGGAAAAACTCTTGGTTTATCTCCTGGTTAGAATTAAAGGGATTTACTTCAGAGTTCCCTTTGTAGTCTAGGAAGGCTTATAAAGTCTCAGTTGTATCTTTTGTTTTCTAGGCTGTGTGGATGCCTGGGAGCCTAAAGTGCTTCGGGCAGGCATGGGGGCACATTTCCAGGTGCCCATTGTGAACAATCTGGAATGGGAAACAGTGCCCAATCACTTGCCCCCTGACACCCGAGTCTACGTGGCAGACAACTGTGGTCTCTATGCTCAGGTTCAGCTGTCTAATAAAATTAGTGACCGTGACTGGGCATGTGACCGACGATTCCTGAAGTTTCACAAGTATGAAGAAGAGGACCCAGACACTAAACCCAGCAAAGACTGGCTTCCCAAACTTGAGGTCCAGAGTTACGATTTGGACTGGACAGAAGCACCAGCAGCTGTGGTGATAGGTGGGGAGACGCATGGGGTGAGCCTGGAATCCCTGCAGCTGGCTGAGAGCACTGGTGGCAAGAGGCTGCTGATCCCCGTCGTCCCTGGAGTGGACAGCCTGAATTCCGCCATGGCTGCAAGCATCCTGCTCTTTGAAGGGAAAAGGCAGCTGAGGATAAGGTGGAGGACTTGAGCAGGGGCAGGAGTTACCAGGGAAGGAACCCAGAAGTCCTCAGCAGGAGGGTGCCTCCAGCTCCTGCGACAATGGAGTGATGCTCGGAGGCTGGCCAAGGTGGTAACCTAGAACCAGGAGGTAGGCATTGCCGCCATTGTGTGGTTACCGGAAAAATAGCAATTTCTATCAGTTTCTGCTGTTCTTCATTAAACAACAGAGATCAAAATTCTTTTTTACTTTTCTTACATGAGTGTATGTCTGCATGTATGTGCACCACGTGTATGCCTGGTACGTGGCAGAAATCAGAAGAGGGTGTCAGGTCCCCTGGAACTATGGTGAACCACCATGTGGGTGCTAGGAACCAAGCTGTGTCCTCTAGAAGAGCAACAGGTACTCTTAACCACGGAAGCAACTCTCCAGCCCTATCAGAATTCTTCCTAAGGTCTCCCATCTCCATTAGTGCTGAGGTTGAATAAGGGTGACAGTACCAATAGACGGTGGACCCATGGCTTTGTATGTACCTGTTTTTAAAACCATCCACTAGGGGCAGGCATGTAGCTTAGTGGTTGAGCACTCTCCCAGGTTCCACCTATACCATAGGGCAAAAACAATTGGCCACTAGGTAACATTTTTCTAAGGAAGTTCCCAAGTGCTTTGCTCTAGAGCAAAGATGACCTTTTGAACCAGCTGGAAGGTGCTCTGCAATCATGGGATTCTGTGTATAGGTCATGTCCTAGTCATTGTCTCTGTGTCTGACTGCTGGGGAGTGGAAAATAAATTGCTAATAAATACAGAACCAGATTACATAAAAAGTTACATTTAGGGCTGGAGAGGTGACTCAGCTGTTAGAGGCTAGACTCACAACCAAAAAAAGTTACATTTTAGTGTGGCCAATAGATACCCTCCCTGCCCCCCCTTCAGTTTGAGATAGAATGTGATGTAGCCCAGGCTGGCTTCAAAGACTGTATCTAAGGATGGCCTCCTTCAACTCCTGGTCCTCCTGACTCCACCTCTGAGTGCTGAGATTACAGCCGTGGGAACACCATGCCTGATACTATGCAGTGCAGGGGCTCAAACACAGGGCTTCCATGTGTACTAGGTAAGCACTCTGCCAACTGAGTCACATTCCCAGCACCTTAGTGTCTCCTTTCATCTTGTAGTGATAAGTACATTGCTAACAGAACCCGGGAAGGCGGGGCGCAGGGTATGGCATCCTACAGGCAGCTGATGTGTATTTCCCCCTTTATGGTGAGGCAATAGAAGCAGTTAATTCATCAGGTAGTGTCATGCCTTCTTAGCCCAGCATCTCTGCAAAGTTGTTTTGAGACAGAGTCTCGCTAGATAGCCCTGGATAGTCTGGAACTTATAGACCAGAGTGGCCTTGAACAGAGATCTGCCTGCCTCTGCTCCTGAGTGCTGAGACAAGGTGTGAACCACCATGCTTGCCTTTACAGACATTTTTTTGTTTTGTTTTTTTTTTTTTTGTTTTTCAAGACAGAGTTTCTCTGTGTAGCTTTGGAGCCTGTCCTGGAACTCATTGTGTAGGCCAGGCTGGGCTCAAACTCAGAGATCTGCCTGCCTCTGCCTCCCCAGTGCTCGGTTAAAGGTACACGCCACCACCGTCCGGCACAGACATCTTTTTGAGGACTCTATGAAGAAAGACTAGAAACTGAGTCTTGAAATTTGCAGCATAACCTGCCACTGTTGGGGAAGTGCCAGCTTGCTCACTAGTTCCTTGCTAATTGTAGTTTATGTGACACCTGATTAAATGCTGTGATTAAGGAGGACAACAAGATGGTCCAGAGAGAGAGGCATTTGCTATACAAGCCTGGCAACTTGAGTTCAATCCCTGGAACCCACATAAAGGTGGAAGGAGAGAACCAACTCCATAGAGTTGTCCTCTGACCTCCACATACACCATGACGATGATGACGATGATGATGATGACGATGATGATGATGATGATTTAAGGAGCTGGAGAAATGGCTCAGCAGTTAAGAGCACTTAACTGGACCCAAGTTCAATTTCCAGCACTCATGCTGGGCGGATCACAATCACCTCCAACTTCATCTCCAAATGTTCTGATCCCTCTTCTGGCCTCCTCGGATGCCTGTACTCACTTGTGTACAAACACAGACATACATATACATGCAATTAAAAATTAAATGAATCTTTAGTTTTTCAATCAAGAAGCAATCACTGGGTTCTGTGAACTGAAGGTCCTTCAAGGTCAGGATGCCGAGGTCCTGATCATACTGCCTCAGTGTCATGCTCTCAGATCTCCAGGGACAAGCCAGGTCCCTAACCTCCCAGAGGACAGCCAGAGAGGAGAAGGCCAAAGCAGGTGGTAGCGCGTGCTGAGTGACCATGGGAAGGGCAGGCATGCTGGAGATTGGGATGCATTCTAAACACTACTCTGCAACCTCAAAGAATAGATTTGAGCAGGGCGGTGGTGGTGCACACCTCTAATTCCAGCACTCAGAAGGTAGAGGCAAGAGGAGGTCTGAGTCTGAGGCCAGCCTGGTCTACAGAGTGAGTTCCAGGACAGCCAAGGATACACAGAGAAACCCTGTCTCAAGAAAGGAAAAAAAAAAAGAATAGGTTTGGAGTTGAGAATCACAGAAAGTAGTTGTACACATCCCTCAGGCACAGTGGTTCCAATGACTGGATTCCTTTAGCTACTTACTCAGAGAGGCTGGACAAGGTGCCACATGCCCAAGAGAAATCAGAGCCAGCCCCTTCCCTTTCTAATCCTTCAACTCCAGTAAAACTCTTGGGAGAACCAAATGGGCAAGCTTATTCCATGTGCTAGGTGGCAGATGGCATGCTTTGGGGTGTTTTAGGAGAGAATATTGGTAGTTTTCAGTTTTGTTGGCTGTGTCCTCCCAGGATGAACAGTTTGTCCCTGCCTGCCCAGGGTACTGTACACATTTGATGTGGGTGGCCCACGGATTCTTGAGGCCCCCAGTCTCCAGTCAGCTTTTAGAAACCAGAAGGGCCCAGAGCCTTTTACTTTACTGTTGCCCACAAAGGCTGGAACACAGTTGGCAGACAATAGGAGCTGAAGAGGACTGTAATGACTGCCCCAGCAGGCTGGGTCTAGAAGGCAGCAGATTCATACCACTCCACCAGCTCTCCCCCTCAACACCTTAGAAATGGCTAAAGAAACAGAAGGCTCTACCAGGAAGCAAGCACATCTTGCTAGCATAAAGCCACTTTCCTGTAATTTGTCTCCCTGCATTGTGTTACAAAATAAAAATCAATGATAGAACGTCCTACATCTTCAAGAAGAATGGGAGAATGCAAAACCACTGGCTTGGTGCAATGTGAAGCCCTTTTGCCATCCTGGCTGCAAGAGGGGTAAGAAGCGTCCTTGTCATCTGCTTTGTGCTCGGTGTTAGGAGTTAGCCTGGGGGTGGAGCAGAGGAGAGGGCAAATTGTCCTTTTAAGTGACTGTGACTAGAGGGGAGTACTTGTGATGAAGTTCTTGCTGAATATGGGGAAGGGGTGTCTACTATGTCTTCCAAAATCACCACTGGCTGGTGTACCTGCCGATTTCTCTGGATACTGCTAGCTAAAGGGCTCGCTTCCCCCTGGAGTGGCCTGCCCATGTAATTTTCCTGCTGCCACAGACCTCTCCAACCCAGAGCCCCTGGACAGCACAGATCCAGTCTGTTGCTGGCACTTGAGGTGGAATAAATGACCTGGGTGCGGCCTGTTTTCCTTGCTCTGGAGGGTGCTGGGGAAGAGTAGGGATGGGTGGAGGTAGACGTTGTGGGGAAAAAGGTAAACTTCACCTACACATGGCAGTCCTACAGGGTCTCATTCACCCTGCCATGGATGAGTTGCTCTGTGTGTCTCATCCCCCATTACATTCTAATGTTAAATCACTTGGCAAGAGTGCATTTTAATGATGCCCAATTTCTCTATGTTCTTTGAAGGTTTCTGTCTAGATAAAATTGTGATTTGGAGCCAGGAGATGGTGGCACAGGCCTTTAATCCCAGACTCAGGAGGCAGAAGCAGGGGGATCTCTGTGAGTTTGAGGCCAGCCAGGTCTACAGATAGTTTCAGGACAGCCAGGGCTACCTAGAGAAATCCTGTCTAGGAAAACAACAAAATTGCCTTTTGAAAAAAAAAAATAGTTCTTGCTGATTGAAAATGGAAAATCACTACCATGAATTCTCACTTTTGAGAACAAGGAATGCTTCTATCACCGTTTCCCTAGGAAACAGGAATAAAACTGAGCAGCAGTCTGTGATATGAGAACTGCCAAAGGCTGGAAGAGCAGCGTTGGGACAGTCTGGTCAAGGCTCCAGCCTGGCTTTGCAGTGAGCCTAGCTATAGCCGTGGCTTTGGCCACAAGGTGGCGAGCCTCACCTCAGAAAGATTCCTCACCTCAGAAACGGTTCCTCAAGTTAAAGATTTGGGACTTGCCCTGGGCTTAAGTTCAAACGGAGTCCTGTCTCCCTCTGCCAAAGAACACTGCAAGCTTGGGTCTCAGCTCAGCAGAAGTCAGAATCGGAAGTTCAAGAGAATGTGGACATTAACAAGAAGTGGCAGAATGTCCAGTCTCTGGGAGAACTCTGGTGACCCAATGTGCTCTTGTCACACAGCCTTAGCCAGTGCTTCAGGGCAGGGGGAGGGAAGCGTTCTTCTCCTTCATCCTTCCTTCATCCAGCTGCTAACTGGTGAAAATCCTGGTCACTTGGGCGTGTGGGGCAAACACCACTGGAGATCTTCCACTGCTTGCTCTGGAGTTCACAGAAACTTCTGATTCTCTGCCACCCAGGCTGAACTTCATCTCAGGCCACACCAAGTCCCAGATACCAGCATCCACCCAGGATTCTCTGACCATGGGTTGCTGTAGGCCACGGGGCTCCTACCTCCACCCAGCTGCCTCCCCAGCTGCTCCGTGGAGCTCCTGCCTCTTGGGCTCATCTTGTTTTGCTTTAAGGAAGAATGTTGCTTTTAAACTGCAACCTTGTCCTCTTTCCCCTTTACTCCGTGAATGAGTGAATACACAAACGAACTAAACTAGGAGACAGATTAACAGATGAACTGTTTCTGAACAGAGCCATGGCACATCTGAGCAGCTGAGGTCACAGCTGCAAGCCAAGTTTTCACTGAAGCCTCAGGAGACACTGTGGATGCTCAGTGGCCCAGTGTTCTGGGGATTGGCCTGGGCTTCCTCCTCTTTGTATAGAGATCCCCAGCTGTGTCGTTATACTCAGGAAGGCCAGAGTTGGGGTGGTCCAGCACCAGTACTGCTGCTTGATGAGTGGAGACAAAGGTTGGGAGGAGAGCTAGTGAGAGCCACACCAGGGGTCACTCCGCCTTCCTGGCTCATCTGGGATGAGGGACACTCGCACTGACAAGCCTGAGTAGGTGGGCAAGGCTGCATTTTTAACTGTCCTCTGTCTGGTTGTTATTTGATATATGAGCTTCCAGAGCCTGGCCCTACGGCCACTGAAGCTTACTTGGGGCAGCACATTTGCCTGTAGGGATGGTGGCTTTTAAGAGTCGGTGCTTTCAAAGGAAATCTCAACTGTTCTTCAGAATGAATTCTACCCACATCACTTAATACATTTCCTGTAGTATTCCTTAAAGATTTATTTATTTATTATGTATACAGAAGAGGTTGCCAGATCTCATTACAGATGGTTGTGAGCCACCATGTGGGTGCTGGGAATTGAACTCAGGGCCTCTGGAAGAGCAATCGGTGCTCTTAACCTCTGAGCCATCTCTCCAGCCCCTAGTATTCCAAAACACTACAAGGGTGATCCACACAGTGCTTAGTTCTCATTGTCAACGGCGCTGGCTATGATCACTTGGGAAAGGAATCTCAGTGAAGTCTGCCTAGACAAGGCTGGCCTATGTGCATGTCTAGACCGGCCCATGGGTGGCAGCACGGGATCCTGTCATCTGAGTGACTTCTGGTGGACTGCACCCTAGAACTCTCCTGGAGGGGTTTTGTCAGGGTGTTTTTGTCACAGCAACAGGGATGAAGCCAGGAAACTTGCCTCCATCTTTCCACCGTAAGGTACATGGAGAACACTCTTCTGTTCTGATTCCCCCGAAGCAGAGTGCCCAGCCACAAAGCAGAACCACCCTATAATTCCATATACAACCGTTTGTTCCTGGAGTCTGCCACATACGCCCCCAGGCTGCTGCCATTAATAATGAAGTCAGTAAACAATGGTCCCCTAGAAAGTTCCCTAAGCAGCCTGCCTGGAAGCTCTGTCAATTCAGGAAACTTTGTAAGATCCGGTGAGCTTGGGGTCTCAGCCCCTGGCCCCACAAGACAGAGTGGAGAGAGGCACTCTTGAACCTTGGCAGCCCCCGGGCATTGCCACCCTAACAGTTTTACCTCGGTGGTGTTCCGGTGCTGAGGCAGGCACAGGTCTGCCCAGGCTGGCCGAAGAAATGTCCCTGTGCACAGAATGTGACCACTTCTGCACGTGGGGCCAGATGTTAGCTCAGGCCACTCCCTGTGTGTCAACTATGTGTAGCATTTCCCCATGTCCTCACATGCCCATGTTTTCTCCCTGCTCTCCTTAAATAATGCCATTGCAAGTCCCACGGACCTGTTTCCAAGCCATATTCTGCTGTCTATCTCCTCGCTGGCTTCAGTTTGCCGCCCTGAGCACAGGAGCAGGAGGGGGAACAGCTTTTTAGTGTCTTTAATTAGGCAACAGGAAAAAACAAAGTCTGGCTGAAAATTACCACTTGAAGCTCGCCAAAAGAGCAGTGGGGCTCCGTATGCCGGAATAAGTGGCGGCCACTGTTTTCAAGCACACGTGGTGGGCAGGACAGAGCAGACACCACCTGACTCTTAGACAGGAAGCTGGTTCCATCTGCCCCTTTCCATCATTATCCTAACACACATCTTTTTCCTTGTATGGATTTGTTTATTATTTTTGGTGTTCTGACACAGGGTTGCCATGAAGCCCAGGCTGGTTTTGAACTTATGACCCACCTCCCTCCCTCCCTCGTGCTTGGATTCCAGGCTATCCTTTGATCTTTTATGTATGAAGGCAAGTGAAATGTCTTCTCTTGCTGGGCACACTAGCTCATGCCTCTAATCCCAACACTTGGGAGCCTGCAGCAGGAACATGGTCATGAATTTGAGGTAAGTCTATACCGTGGCTGAGGCTACACAGTGTTTTCTAGACCAGCCTAGGCTTTGGAGTAAGACTTGGTCTCAAGAAATAAGAAAAAAAAAATGTGCCCGACAGTGGTGGTGCATGCCTTTAATCCCAGCACTCAAGAGGCAGAGGCAGGTGGATCTCTGTGAGTTCAAGGCCAGCCTGGTCTACAGAGCAAGTTCCAGGACAGCCAAGGCTGCACAGAGAAACCCTGTCTCAAAAAACAAACAAACAAAAAAACCCAAAAAAACAAACAAACAAACAAAAAAAGTCTATTGTGTGAATGGGCTCTGGAGGTCATTTTGAACACAAACCTGGGAATTATACAGTGGCATTTTTATAGCTACCTTCCCACATGGAACTGCAGGGCATGGTGTTTCCCTTGCTGCTGGCGGAAGCCTGTGGATACGTCACAGCTGGTGTTTTAGCCTGTTTCCAATTAGCAAGGAGAATTGGAAGGTATCTTGGAGCTGCTTGGTGGGAGCTAGCATGCCACCCACTTGGTCGGCTGCAGTAACCTTTAGGGGATGTTCACTGATGCGATGAGATCCTTCCATGGCACTTTCCTCCCACTGTGGCAGCTGTACAGCACTAAACCTTCCCCAGTGGTCCTGACTAACCCACACATCCACTCTAAAAGGAAGTTCTGGCGTTGCGTCCAACTGATAGGGGTGGCTAGTGGTTCAGAAGAAGCAGCCCAGTTACAGGCCACCAAGATACAACAGAGAGCCTGTTTCTCTTGCAGTGACTAATGGCATCTCCTACTGGCCTGCTTCCTTTTGCCCTCGAGAGGGACACCATCCTTTCCTTCCAAGCAGTCAGGACACAGGGCACAGACAGAAACCTGTTCATTTTCCAAGGGAGGGAGTTCATCTTATTCCTCATCCCCCTCAGCGACACTGGCAGAAAAGCCCCTAACCCTAGGAAAGAGCTGAGTGTGGGCATCCCATCCCTTGCCCTACTCTTGGAAGTGAGGTCCATGGTGATTCCCCTATCTCCCCTCGGAGGGGTCAGCGCTCAGCTTCCCTGTAAGGAAGGACACAGCAAAGTGCGTGACAAGGTCTTCAGTCTGAGAACGGAGCCTCCAATCAGCTTCCTGCCTTCTAAAAACCAATTAGAGAAACAGATGGCCATGCTTATGTTTAAGGGGTGTGTGTGTGTATGTGTGTGTGTGTGTGTGTGTGTGTGTGTGTGTGTGTGTGTGTGTGTGTGTGTACTGAAGTCAGGGCCTTATGCATGCTTGACAAGCATCCTGCCACCAAACTCTGTCCCCAGCCCCAGTTCATTAGATTCCTGAAGGTTCTTGCACATTCCCCTCCCCATCCCAAATAGAGCACTCCAGTGAAAAAAGACTCATCATGAAGGACAGGAAGAACGGCATGAAGGATGAGGTCCAGAGAGGCCTGCTTTATTTCTTTCTAGGTGGTTGCATTTCAGGCTGGCAGCATCCAATAGACTAAGTACCAACTAACGTTGTACCTCTGACCTACAAATCGACAATCCAATTCAGCAAGGAGCAACAGTGTCAATAGCTTGTTGGGGGAGGACGGCTGGGGTTTGCAAGATAAACGGTTTGGGCTGGTAAAGTGTTGAGCGGGGCTGAGGATGAGGTCCAGGTGCTTTGAAAGCCCCGGCACCCAACTGTGACAGACTAAACTCCTGGGACTCTCGGCCAGTTCAGATACCTGGGCCAAGCACAGGAGGTCAGGGCCGACTCCAGCTGACATGCCCTCTGTCCTCACTCCACTAGCACACAGCCCCTTCTGCAAGTTCCTAGGGAAAAGAAAATTCTCATTGCCTTTTGGATCCAAGTTGAAAAGAAAATGGACTAGGAAGGAGCTGCAGGTGCCTCTGCAGAGGTCAGTGGCCTCGGGTACAGAACCAGCCCACAGAGAGGCCCCTGGCAGCTGGCGGCACTTCTCCTGAACTCAGGGCTGTCTGGGGAAGATGTCCAAGGGGGGAGAATTCATTACTAAAATTCTAAGCCAGTGGGAGCTGTTTGTATGGGCAGAAACGTGGGGATGGGCAAGGGCAAGGAAGAAAGACAGAGATCAAGAACTAAGCACACAGGAAGCACTCTATGAGCTGTTAGCGCGGCTACTCATTTTCCCACCAAACAAACACCCACAAGTTTCCTTAGAGATTTGAAGGTCCCCAGCCCAAGAACCCACTGATACGCTGTTTTCCCCTCAGACCAAGAAAGAATATGTCCTTCCAAAGCATGTTTTCACCAACGGCTTTCAGCTGATGTCCGGAGGCCACGGTCCTTCCTCTGTAACTCCCATAGGTATGAATGTCACAGGAACTCTGGCTTGGGGTATGTGTTCTGACCCCAGAGTCAGAGCCCCAATCCAGTGTCCCTGCTTGCTCACTCTGCAGGAGACCCTGGAAGGCCCTTCACCAAGACCTAGTGACCAGGAGAGTGTGGTAGTCCCGGTGCTAGCTGGTCATGCCAACCTCACACATCCCAAGCAGTCTCCAGACACAGTGGGTCCTGCTGCCGCTGTGAGGAGGTGCACCCTTGGGTGCTGGCTGAGTTGTTAATGCAGAAACAAGGCACCACAGAGGTTGGACACTTGGGTTGTGTGACTCAGGACACACTGGAAAAGTCCAAGGGCAGAGGGAAGGAAGGGGAGAAGACTGAGTCTTAAATACTGTCTCAGGAGGCCAGAGCCCACTAGATGGGCTCTGGTTTGAGCTTTTCTGCTAGGAAGTCATTCACAAAAGTCTCCACAATGGCTGGGGTGATCTCTTCTACATCCATCACGTACTTGGCCCGGGCTGACATGTCCAGAATGGTGAGCAAGGGTGCCGCCTCAGGCAGGTTGGTGTAATCTCGCAGGGAGTCGGTCATGTCATCCTGGAAGTCACCAGAGGGGCAAGAAAACCAGTAAGTTTTAACAGGAATCTTCTGAACCCAGTCTCCAGAGAGCATGGGAAAGGGACGGCACCAGCATCCTGGAGTGATGGGCTCCTATGGGAAGGATAAGGACTCCACCCAGCCTTAGGGAGAGGGCCATTCAATATCCTGCATCCCTCAGCCCAGGAGGCAAGCTACCTTTCTTCATGAGCGCAAAAGCAGCTTTAACATGCCCTCTGCTTCTTAAGATTACCAAGTCCTAATTGCTTGGTTTTGCAATCGGCTCTCAGTTCTTCGCAGCTCCACTGTGGATTACCTGAGGCCAGTCAGGATTTCAACTCTGGAATGTTTTTCAACAAAAACAGCTTACTGTCTCCTCTACCCTGGGTGGAAGGAAGGCAGGGATGCCCGGCCAGCCTGGAGGCTACTTCACTGCATTTGTCTGAGAAGGAAGCCAGGGATTTGCCATGTATCCCCAGATGCTGTCCAGGTGAGTTCCCTGGGAACAGATACCCCTCATCCAAACAGCCAAACACAAGACAAGGAAACGCTTTTCTGTTGTTGTTTGTTTGTTTTTTCAGACAAGGTTTCTCTGTGTTGCAGCTCTGGCTATCCTGGAACTCGATTTGTAGACCAGGCTGGCCATGAACTCACAGAGATCTGCCTGCCTCTGCCTACTGAGTGCTGGGATTAAAGGCATGTGCCAACACTGCCTGGCAAAGGAAAAGCTTTTATAGAGAAGCAACTATTTGAGGTGACCTTTCATGCTTCAGACCACAGTTAGTGGATAATGGGACTTCACACTATACAATATATAATATTCTAATTCTAATGAAAAAAAATTTTAAAGACTATATTCTTTTTTTTTAAATTTATTTATTTGTATTTTATGTGCACTGGTGTCTTGCCTGCATGTATGTCTGTGTGAGCATGTTCCAGATCCCCTGGAACTGGAGTTACAGACAGTTGTGAGCTGCCATGTGGGTGCTGGGAATTGAACCTGGGTCCTCTAGAAGAGCAGCCAGTGCTGTTAACCACTGAGCCATCTCTCCAGTCCCTCTAATGAAATATTTTGAGTAGCCCTGCAGAGAAAGGACTTGGGGTCTTCCTGGCTTTCAATGGGGGTGAACAGGAGGCATAAAACCTAAGCTCACTGGTTCCTCAGACAGAATCCATTCCGTGCCCAGACACTAAGGAGGGCTGTCGGTGACACCTCCCTTCCTCATAAAATAGCATGTGCCTCCTGGCAAGGCCGGGTGTTCCCACATCTTGGGTACTGATCACCAGATTCAGCCCTCACGGGTTAATAAAAACCCTTCATGATAAAGAGGGAAGCACCTGAACAAATACTATTCATCTTACCCCTTTAGGAGGCTCGGACCAAGCCAAGAGCTCCAGTACCTCCTCTAGCTCCCTCTGAGCAAACCAGAGAGAGATGAATTTTAATGTCCATGAAGGCTTCAGATTAACCACTTCTTATCCCAAGGGATAGGATTAGGACAGGAAAACAACACCTCCAGGACTCTCCTAGCCCTGGGCCACAGTGCTGGGCTCAGTTAATTGATGTCCATGGTCTATCTCCCTGTCGCGCGCCCCCCAACTCTCACCCTGCTCCAGGTTATCTTGCAGAAGAACAGAGGGCTGGACCAAGTCAGCTGCCAAGACTAGAGCCTGGGTGGAGCAATGGACGACACAGTGGCCTCTGCCTAGCTTTCTGATCCATGGACAATGCCCCCAATACCTGTCCTTCTAGGCATGAACTGGCCCATCTGTCAGAAGCAGAAGGGCCCTGCCCCTGGACTCACAGCAACCTCAGCGGTTCTTTCTCTGCTACTACTTTCCGTGTGGCCTTGGCAAGGGACACCATGGAGCCCAGGCCCTATCCCTACTGCCCTGGATGCTATGAGAGGAAACCAGTCCTCTATGCTCCCAGCCCTGCCTAGGGAGAGTCCATCCTTCACTCGCCTCCTCTATGAAACAAGGTGGTAAGTCTATGTTCCTGTCAGAGAGGTGAGGTAGGAGGGAGACTAGCAGGTGAAGTTCCTGGCGAGGCGCCTAGGGTCCAGAAAACTCTCAAAAGCTTTTCAGCTGTGCTCCTGAATCCCTGCCCTGCTCCCAGCCCGGCCCTTTCTCTTCTGCACCCATCTTTTCTTAGGAGCCATTCTCCAGGGGTTAGAGTTTAATCCATGCAGAGCAGTCTGGCTGTGCTTTGTATGGAGCGGCTGGGAGCCCCCAGGCAGGAGACTGTGAACCCTCTTTGTTCCCCTCCACCCCAGGGCCGAGCAGGGCCACGGGAGCTGCCTGCAAGGGGCCCAGCAGGGCAGCCAGGGGCGGCTATTGAGGAGCTGATGAATGGGTGGCTTAGGGTGTCTGGCTTCTGTTTGTCTCCTGTGCTTCTGCTGGGATCCAGACACAGTGTACAGCCTCTGACCAACTGATGGCTCAGACCTGTGCAGGAGGGGCTGCAGGGGTGGCCTCACAGAGCCCCTTGATGTAAGCCTCAGAGGGGTGCTGGGGTGGGGTGGAGAAGCAATGAGCATGTGCAGAAGGAGCCAGAAGGGCGCCTGCGCTGCTGACCACGGCCATCTTGCAGAACACGGGAGCCTGTAGGACGCAAGCTCCCCAGCTCCAGGGTGGCCAGGCACCTACCTGCACAGGGAGTCCCTACTCTGAGGACCCACTTTCTGACCCTGGCAAAGTCCCTTGCTCAGTCCGGCACAGTGAGGGCCTTCCAGGACTATGCCCTTGGGTGCAAGAGCCGGGGAAGAGCAGTAACTTCCAACCTCCCCAAGCACCTTCAGCGGCGTGAGTGACCTCGGGTCCCAGCTGCGTCCTAAGCCAGGATCCCTGGGATGGCTAAACCCATATTGCAGGCTGGGGCGGTGGGACTAGGCAAGCTGACACTCTGCAAAGCACTGGGGCCGATTCTGACCCAGCTCCATGGATGGGAGTGTGGGTGGCTGACTGATGTTTGCGACACTGCTCTCCCGGTGGTGTGTGGGGAACAGCCCTGGGAGGGTTTCCTAATGTTCCGCCGAGGCCGCTGAGTGAGAAGGAAGGGCGGGGGGAGAGCAGGGATAGGAAATGTTCTTTGATGACTAAGGACACACCTTTCCTCCTACATCTGTATGCGGCACAATCAGCTCAGACCCAGAGGTTCCTTCAAACCTCATGTTAGCCGAGATTACTCATGTCCTGAAAGTGCCCACTGTCGGCCCTGCCAGGGGACCGGCCCGTTCTCTGTACTCACCTCCCCGGCCACAAAGAACAACAGCGGCGCCTCCTCCTCTTTGGCTTTGTACTTGGCAATGATTTTCTCAGCTATTGGCTGGATTAGCTGTTTGGCTGCCTCAGACTCTCCATCGTCCTCAGAATCTGTGACACGGAGGAGGCGACAAAGGACAAGAAACTCTGGATTGTCAACGAGTGGTAACCCGGGACGACCTGAAGGCCAGGCCTGAGCCTCGCCGGGCTTATTAGGCACAGCGAGGCTCTGTGAACAGGTCTAAGCCCACCTGTCGGCACGCAGACCTCGTCATGGAGTCCGTCACAGACCTATCCAGGAAGCTGTGCCGCTTCCATGCCAAAACCTGAGCCCTTGGTAGCTTTTCTCCCAGTCACAGAACGAGACCCAGGACCGCCACAGGGAGGCGAGCACCGTGGTCCCTCTGGTGGCGATGGGACACCACAGTTGCTACAAAGCCACCTCCACAACTGGTAGGCAGACCTGCCCGGGAGGGTCCACAGGAGAACACGAGGATACCACACACAAGGCTCAGGCTGCTGGAGTCTGTGGGCAAGAGCCAGCGCAACATCCTCAAATGGTAAAAGCAGGGAGCGGGCAGGCGTCTCCCCAGAAACGCCATGCTGCCCAAGAGGCTCACGGTGCACAGACTAACACACTGGGACACCCCACCCCCACCCCCTCTAATTCACTTTGTGATGCTACCCAACTTGTTTGCCTCGCTGGGACTTTGTTTCCACATCCTTGGAGAAAAGACCAAAAGAACCGCAAGTTCAGAGCTCTTTCCAAATGGGCTCCAGGATGTGGGTGTGAGGACCCACAGCGGGCTCCACAGCTCCACAGCCCACAGCTAATATTCCTCAAGGCTGCTTAGCTCCAGCAGGCCTTCCTACCCAAGACCAGACGAGTCTGCTTAGCAGTTCCCATGCTGGGGACCCGACAACCAGACCCCAGAGAACGGAGTAGGGTGCTGAGTGTACTCCCCAGGCCCTCAGTGAAGCTGGTGGGGACCATACCAACCATGGACTTAATAGAGCAGTTCAGTTGGAGGTGACCAGCAAAGGCCCGCAGTTCTTGGCCGTAGGTTGTGAGAGCATCCCCAGTCACTCCATCAGAGTGCAGGGATACTTTTCTGTCCTTCGACTTGGCCTTGGCCGAGGGGCACAGCTTCTGAGGGTTGGAGGAGCAGGGGCACCCCCCACCCCCACCCCTGTGGACCTGGGCCAGCTCTAGTGAGTGGCCTCCTGGAGTTGTTCATTAGAGCATGGGAGAGTGGCAGGAGCAGCCCTGGATGAGCCTTCGCCTGAGGGGGCCCCACCCCCTGCAGCTGCCATGCCAGCAATCCCCCTCTCCCTTCCCAACAAAGGTTCTGTTCATGGGGGGCTGGGGCATCCTCCTGCCTGACCTGTTTGCCCAGCTGGCAGCAGAAGCAGCACAGAGGGGAAGCGGAGCAGTCGCTGCTCCAGACCACCGCCCACAGGGGGATGGTCATGAATAAATCACTGGGGTCACAAGCAAGGCTGCAGGGGAGACAAAGGCCCCCAGCTGAGCACGGCTAATGACTGAAGAGGCTGCAGGGATAGCCACCTCCCAGGAGCGGTCCATTCGGACCCGTCCCCCACGGCCGGCCCCCTCCGCTCCGTCCTTACCTACAAAGAGGACGAGGCAGGGGCCTTCATTGAGCTGCACAGCGTTGGAGTCTGAGAGTTCCAGCACGGGCTTCGGGTGCCATGGGAACCCCCTGCAGTCCTCGTCATTGAGCACCTCCACTCGGCCCTGCCGAGTGATCACCTCCCCCTGCGGGTCCAGCACGATGAGCGTGGGGATGCCTGCAAGAAAGACAGAGCAATCCTATCCTGAGACAGCGTGGAGCCTGTCTTCCAGACTGGGGACATTCACATAGTCACAGTAAGAATTCAGGCCAGGCAGGGCTGTGGTGGCTCACTCCTTTAATCCCAGCACTTGGGAGGCAGACAGAGGCAGGAGGATCTCTGTGAGTTCGAGGCCAGCCTGGGCTACAGATCAAGTTCCAGGAAAGGCTCCAAAGCTACACAGAGAAACCCTGTCTCGAAAAACAAAACGAGAGAGAGAGAGAGAGAGAGAGAGAGAGAGAGAGAGAGAGAGAGAGAGATCCAGTCTAGGAAGTCCTGGGCTGAAACTAAGCCCAGTTGTTGACTAGCTACAGGACAGCTCTGGGTTTGTGTGGAGTCACTCCATGGAATGCTGAGCAAGCCTATGCCTTGGAGTTCTTGGGAGGTAATGCTGGGAAGGAGCTGGAGTCCTCAGCTTTTTCAGCTCCATCAACAGCAACTGAGTGATCAACTTAGAGAACAGAACACAGGAGACAGGGTACACAAGTGAGCACACACACACACACACACACACACACACACACACACACACACACACACGCAACTGGGCATAGGGTCTTGGCACATAGGTGCAGCCAATCAGTCAGTGGTGGGCACACCCTAAAGAGACCTCCAAAGGTACAGCAGGCAGAGTCTAAAGCAGACAGAGGTGGCATAAAGACATCCACAGACCCTCCCTCACAGTGCATGGGTACACACACAGAGCAAGACAACAGAGATGAGCAGAGTCCTTACACGGCCACCAAGGCCACCCCCAGAGCAAGCACCAAGGAGCACAGCCCCAGTGAGCAGGGATGTACAGGAAAGGGAGGAGCCTGGTTCAGGCCAGCAGCACAAATTAGGGAGGCAGAGGAGAGCTGAGCCAGTGCAGGCCTTTGGCACGCTCCATCTCCAGCCACAGCCCTGCTGCCTGTGGAGAATCCAATACACTCTAAGAGGAGAGTCCCCAGAAGGAGCAGGACACGCAAGTCTGGCCTGGAGTAAGAATACACAGAACGCTTGCCAGTGGAGCACATGTACTCACCTATAAATCCCCAAATGAACATCGGGGAAAAATCCTAACCTGGTTTATAGCTGCATCTGGGCTTGCCACCTCCTTGCTCTTTGTACCCCGCTCCCCACTGCTTCTCCGCTGGCCAGAGCTGCCCCTCACACAGAGTCTGCCTCTGCCCTGACCTTTGGGGACACTTGTCTCTCCACTGGTAGCTGGTCCCCTCCCCAGTAGTGCTCTCCAGGTACTTCCCCTTGGGGGCAGACCAGAGCCTGAATTCTATATGAAAGCCAGAGCAATTTAATATTTATAGGTTCTGAAGTATTTGGTCAGTAATTTGCTCCACTGACATTTTACTTCTCCATGGGGGGTTACAGCGAGGTACCAGAAGTATGTCCCCAGTGCTTTGTAACCTGCTGTGGCTGTGGGCCCAGTGGGCACACCGTGGTGGGCCTATCTTCAAAAGGAATAAACGAATCCATTTGGTTCACATCTATTAGAAGAAGTAGCTAGATGGGTGTGACAAGGAACAGGTGAAGAGAACCCCGCTTCTGTGCCCGCCCTCACTCCTGTGGACTTTTAAGTCTTGAACAGGAGTCTTGGGAAGTTGTCTTAATGGCTGCCTCTCCCCCCGAAGACCTGGACTGATGTTGGCTATGTCTCCACACACACAGGACTTAAAAGTCAGTAGCCCAAAGAAAGCTTGGGGCTGAAGGCCACACAGGGCAGCCCGGGACACGAGTGATCCCCACTGCCACGTCCCCATCTCTAAAAAGCCTTGGCACAGGTCTTTCATCTGAACTGGTATTTCTGAAACTGGGCAGTTCTGAGCACTGGGTAAACCAGAGCCCGCCTACTGCTATGATTAGACACAAGCAGTGGGCCTGTTTTTAGCCTGGACTCGGGATGCAGAGCTGGTCGAGGAAGGACAGACAGGCACAGAGCTCTGGGAAGGGAAGACGAGCTTGCAAGGGAAGTCTGCTTCCTTTGTCTCACCATCGAATCACTGTGAGGGGATTTATTTGCTGCTCTCTTTGTCCTGTGGGGACCAGAGCAGGAGGGCGAGGACTCAGGCCGGCTGCCCCAGAGCCCACTGCCGAGTCCACTGAGGCACAGATCCTCTGGCCAGGCTCTCTCCACTCCGTCCCCTTAGCTGTGAAAAACTAAAAAGTCCTCCCTCAGCTCTGGTGCTTTGAGCGCCAAAGCTCATGTCTAGGAACTCAAGGGCGCGAGGCCCACAGGGACAGGGCCGTGTCAGGGGTGTGAGCACAGTGCATGGAGTACACCCAATCAGACCTGGAACTGGAGAGGCCCTGAGGGTACCTGTGCTCCATGTTCACCTCTGTGTCCACCTTTCCCTTCGGGTGACCTTGGGTTTGACCTCAGATCCCTCCAAGGGTGGGCTCTTCTGCTGAGTCAGAGGGCTGGCAAAGAGAAGGGGGGTTTGCCTCTGTGGTTGTCTGCTCTGCCTGGGACAACGTAACTGCCACCTAGTCCGTCATTCTCACAGGCTCGGGGACCACTACAAGACCACCCAGCCAGTCCCAGCGGGATAGGAGCACTGGCCTGCCTGCCTGTGGGGAGAGCTGTGGCTCTGTTTCCAGGACATGGCCTTTGCCAAGTCCCCCAGCACCTGGTTTGGGCCAGGCAGGTTCTTGGAGCCACAGATCCCTAAGCTACTTCCCTCTCTCTTCTTCCCTCCCCAGAGCAGTGGCCAATGTTGAGGGTGTCAGCACCCCATCTTCCCCTCCTGGGCGTTCAGTCCCTGAAGCAGGCTTTCCCAAGTCAATACTTTAGAGAAAACAGGGCGAAGCCTCAGGAAATGTCAAGGGAACAGCAAATTTCTCCTCAGTGCAGTCATGCAAAATACCTTCCACACCAGCGAGGGGAGGGGCTTCTTGTGGGAACGAAGGAGGCAGTACTGCTGCTTGGCCCAGACTTGTTCCCCAGCAAAGCCAGCTGGGACGGTGGGGGGAGCTCTAAGGAAGATCCCGCAGTCCCTCAACTTCTTTCAGCCTCATTCCCAAAAGCTGCCAAATGGGGATGTCAGATTCTATCTTACTTGATTATGGGGAGGAATAAAAAAAATGGAAATGTAAAATGTTTCAGCAGAGTCCTGGGGATATTGTAAGTGTTCCATAAGTAATAGCAAATATTATAAATCCACTCATGTTTTAAAAAGTCCTCCCTGGGAAGGCAGAGGCACAGAGGGCAGGAGCCGTGTAGTAGAGAAGCAGAAACCTCAAGCCAGGGTGGAGAATGTACGCTATGGAACTGGGAGATATGAGTAAGAGTCCCAGCAACAGCAATGTCCACCCAGCAACAGCAATGTCCGCCCAGCAACAGCAATGTCCGCCCAGCAAGAGGGCAGGCGTGAGGGCGCTCTCACGCCGCCACCAGCATCCCAAGTTTACCTTGCAAGCTCAGAGCATACACACTCCCATTCCCAAAGAGGACTCGGCCTAAGCCTTCAGCTCTAGGGAGCTGGAGTACCCATCAGTGCTGGAGTCCCTTCCACTATCCCCTTCAAAGCACAGAGGAAGAACAAGGCCTGCACCTTCCTCCTAGGGAGACCCACCGGTGTTCAGAACAACCTCAAGACAATGCACAGAGTCCACCCTACAGTTTAGTCTGCATCTTTCTCTGTTGCTAAGGAAACGGTGGGGATGGGAGGCTGGAGGTGGGGCAAAGAACCTGAAGTGGTCCAGGAACTTGGGGAAGAAAGGAGCCAGGAGGAGTAGCACCTAGCTCTGTCTGCATCTAAATGGCAGCATCCCAAGGTGCTCCCAGACCCCAAAGACCAATGGGAGCAGGAGGAGAAACTGAAGAAAAAGGAAGTGTGAGCTAGGGCATGACACTGAGAGACAGTGAAGATGGCCACCATGGAGGTTGCAGCCAATTGGAAAGGGTTGCAATATACCGCTAAGAGAAGAACTCAGATGGCACAGTGCTGCATGGACAAGCACATCACAGCTGTGTGTAAGTATGTGAGCAGCGAGCAAAAGGACTCAAAATAGTGGAGACAGTTATAGAGTAAGATAGGAGTACAGAGCAGATATAGGTTAAGTTTGAATTTCAAGTGATGGGATGTGTCAATTTTTATGTTTAAAATGAAAATCAGAACTGAAGGGCAGTAGGGCTGGCATGGAGATGACAACCCAAACCAAACCCTGGCAAGATCAGCAGCCAGTTCCACTCGTCAGCTCTCTCTCCTCCTGATGCCCCCACCCCCAAAAGCTCACTTGTGCTAAGAGAGCGAAGGAGCGGGCAGAAGGAGCTGGCTTCTTTCTGAGTGGGCGAAGCTCAGAAAAACTCAATCCAGGTCAGAGAGATGGGCCTGGACCAACACGGACTTGGTCAGAAGATGCAAAAGCGGCTCAGTCTGCAGCGAGAGACATGCGTGGCTATGTTCTCATAAATCCAGAGACCAGCTGTCAATCATCAGTGGGGCAGATCTGCCAGCTGGCACAGTCAAACTGCCCGTCCACACGGGAGCAGACAAGTCAGTCAGCACAGTTAAGCAGTGCAGCACTTCCCAGGCCTGAAGATAAACCAACTAGACATGAGTATTAGTGGGGACACATTTCAAAACCATAATGGAAGTGAAAAAAAAATCAAGTTGGAGAATTACATTATGACAGCATTTAAAGTATGCTTCCAAAAGACACACCAAGGAAATGTTACATTATTCATGGGTTCATATGCATGCAGGGAAATGCGGAAGCAGCTTAGGAGGTTGCGAGTGAGCAGATATATGGTGGTGATTCCCAGGGGGAAGGAAAGCAGGCGCGCAGGGGCCCTGTCTTTGTTTGTAATGCTTCTCTGCTCGTCCTTCCTTCCTTTCTCCTCATTTTTTTTTTTTTTTTTGACAGTTGGGAGTGCTGAGGAATGGACACAGGACCTGGGTTCTATTCTAAATATCTGAACAAAGTCTTCTTGGTGTAGTATGGGTGTTTATTGCATTATCCTCTGTTCTCTCCTCTATCTCTTTTTTTCTTTTTGTGTGCTCACAATTAAATGCAACAAACAAAACAGAACACCAAGGCCACTCAGTGGATTCCCAGGCTGCCCCGGCCACCCTCCACCAGCAGACAGACAGCTCTACACAGAGGTGCCAGCCCTTTGAATACGAAGATTTATCTACAAAAAAAAAAAACAAAAACCCAGCCAGCATCGGCCACTTGCCCTCTACTGATTGAAAAGGCACAGCTCTGAAAATGCTGTTTTTATATTTACAGAATGCTTCAAATCCATTTTCTGAGGAAAGTAAGGAAGAGGGCAAAGGAAGGGGCAGAGAGGGGAGGAGGGAAATGGGAAATGGGAGAGGAGGAAAGCAGGGACTGGAAGAGAAGAAAGAGTAAGAGATGGATTGAGCAAGAGGGGAAAAAGAAACAGAAAGCTCTATGTTGGGGACGGCAAGGCTCTACATTATAGCCACCCAGCCAGAGCCAGCTCCTGCCCTCCCACAGGCTGGAGATGAAGGACAGAGGAAGGACAAAAGCGTCTGGGTCCCTCACCCAGGACAGAGGGGCCCCTAAGCCTCCCTGCAAAAGAACACGGTGTTCTGCAATACTCTCCGCAGCCCGGGGTTACTTAGACAATGGCTAATGAGATTTGCCTTTTGCCAAGTGTGTCTAAATGGTTCCCTTAGAAAGGCATTTTTAAACAGCTTATAGGGCCCCCAATTCCCCAGTCTGCACAGAGTACTGGGAGCAGGGAGGACTATGGGGAACCCAGCTCTTTCAGGGAGACAAAGGAGATGGAGGAAAGCCAAATGCCAGATCCTCAGTGAGCCAGGGTGGCCCCACGATGAGGACAGCTTCGCACAAACCCAGGGCTGAGTCCAAGGCATCTACAGGGAGCCAGTGACCAGGCCACTGGCAGTTGCCAAACTTTGGTCCATCTAGCTTAGGGCAATCTTGTCAAGACTTGTGGCACAGCTACCCTGTGACGGGTGCCTCACTCCCTGTGACACCGCAGCTAACTGTCAGCATTTGGTAAGGCCACTCTGGAGGAAAAATCTCTGGTGAAGAGGCGCTCTGGGCCTAGACCCAAGACACTCAGAGAACACGTTGCTTTTGCATTATATATTTTCACTCAAGTCAAGACAATAGGGAGGGCCCAGGTGACAGTCAGATCAAGTCTCTCTCTCTCTCTCTCTCTCTCTCTCTCTCTCTCTCTCTCTCTCTCTCTCTCTCCTCTCTCTCCTCTCTCTCTCCTCTCCTCTCTCCCTCCTCTCTCCCTCCCTCCCTCCCCCATTCCCCAAGAAACAAAGACCAGGTGGCAGTAACTCAGCCTGGGTATAGCTCAGGGATGCTCCTAGCACTTCTCTGGAAAGCTACTTCACCAGCCTGGCATGGCGTGGCAGCACGGAACTATGATCCTAGCACCTGGGAGGCAGAAGCAAGTGGAATATTACTGCAAGTTTGAGGCCAGCCTGGTCTACATAGCAAGTTCCAGGCCAGCTAAAGCTACATAATGAGATCCTCTTTCAAAGCAAATAAATAAATTGATAAAGGTATGTGCCCTGTGCCTGTAATCTCAGCACTGGAAGGCTGAGGTAGGAAGGTTACTAGGAGTTCTAGGCCAACCTGGGTTACACAGTGAATTCCAGTCCAGCCCAGGCCATAGAGTGAGACTTTGTCTCAAAACAAAACAACCAAGGGGCTGGAGAGATGGCTCAGCGGTTAAGAGCACCGGCTGTAATTGCAGTGAACCTGGATTTGACTCCCAAAACCCACATGGTGATTCCCAACCATCTGCAACTCCGGTTCCACAGAATCTGACACCTTCTTCTGGCCTCTGAAGGCACCAAGCACGTGATGCACAGACATACATACAGGCAAAATACCCACAAATATACAATAAAAAACTTTTTTTTTAAAAAAAAGACCTCCTAAAAATAAGAAATAAATAAATAAATGAAAGGTCAAATACACCACACCTGCTTGAGATGCTTCTAAATGGTGCTATGAGATAATTTCCTATGGATAAATCCCTATAAGGTGGGATTTTTTCTTTTTTAATTTATTATTATTATGTTTTTAAAAATTATTCATCCAGACTCACTGCTGTGTATGAGGAACAGGAATTCTCAAAAACTTGATGTCCCTATATTGCTAAAGCCATGTGACAGTAATCTTCACCATCAACCTGACTGGGTTTGGTCTCAGTGTATCTGTGAGGGCATTTCTGTGGAGGGCCAACCGAAGGAGAAGACTCACTCTCCATCCCATGGCTATGGCCAGGACAGAATAAAGTGGAGAATGGACACAAGTCAGCAGAGTGTCACCATCCCCTTCTCTGCCATCTGAGCCGTCGGGCTGTGAACTGAGAGGTTCAGCCACGCCTTCCTCATCACACCTCTGAAGCTGAGACCCTGGGTAAACTTTCCTCCAAGTTGTTTGTTAGGTACTGTGTCACAGTGACGAACCACTCACAAAGTAAAGATGGGAAACCCATTGTCATCAGAAGAGGCTGCCACTGAAGGACAGCAAAGCCTAACCCTTAGGAAGGCCCTGGGTCTCAACCAGCCCACCAGTATGTCTTGCCTGTCGAAAGGCCTTTCGACACAAGCTAGGGAGCCTATGGCTGGCCTTGAGGACTATGATGCTGGGGAAGCCTCTTGTCCACCGAGCAGTCACAGAGAGACATGTCTCTTTTAAGTAGAAAACTGAGTCACTTTTAGAGCGAGGAAACTAAATCCCATTGGTGGAAAAGTCAAAGCCCCACCCCATACATTTGTTTGTTTTTACGGTGTGGGGACAGAACCAAAGCAAGCACCTACCCTGGTCTTTCCCACGAAAGACCCATTTGGCTATGGGAAGGAGGTGTTCATCTAGCAAAGGGAAGCATCTAGCTTGTGTCTGTGATATTATTTATTTCTGGACAACACTGTAACACAAATCCAATGATCAACACTCTGATGAAATGTCTTCAACTGAAAGATAGTATGAGTGCAATACATGCACACACGCACACACACACACACACGCACACGCGCACACGCACACGCACACACACAGAGGCACACACGCACACACAGACACATACATGTCAGAAGCGCTTCATCTATATCACTCCTCATCAATTTTCTGTCAGAGGTTCATCACGCCCAGTCTACAGAGGAGGAAACCGAAGCTCAAGGACCCCAAGTGACGGAACCAAAGATTATCCTGTTAGTCATGACAGTGAAGCCTTGGAGGGGAGTTCTGGTCCAGCAACGTGGAAGCATGTGCTCCACAGGCCATCCACATCAGAAGCCACCATTTGCAGGGACGAGAAGCCGCTGTCGTACCAGAGCAAGCACTTACAGACACCACCACCCCACCTGAACCCCCAAAGCAAGCAGCAGTAATGAGGTGTAAGTCATGTTATATGCCATAAAATTCACCCCAAGTCATCTTTAACAGCTTATTTTATTTTTTAAATTGTGTGTGTGGTTTTGTGCGTGTGTGCGTACATGGATGAGCATGTTTATGTGGGTACCCAAGGAAGCTGGAAGAGCCATCAGATTCCCTGGAGCTGGAGTTACAGGTCGCTGTGAAGCTCTTGACATGGATTCTGGGAATTGAACTTGGACCCTCTGCAAGAGCAGTGTAAGCTCTTAACTAATGAGCCATCTTTCCAGTCCCCAAGTGATCCAGAGATCCGCCTGCCTCTGCCTCCCGAGTGCTGGGATTAAGGGCATGCGCCACTACTACCTGGCCCAAGTAATTTTTTTCTTTTCTTTTTTTTTTTTTCGAGACAGGGTTTCTATGTGTAGCTTTGTGCCTTTCCTGGAACTCACTCTGTAGCCCAGACTGGCCTCAAACTCACAGAAATGCACCTGGCTCTGCCTCCCGAGTGCTGGGATTAAAGGCGTGTGCCACCACTGCCCGGCAGTCCAAGTAATTTTTAAAATTATCTGTTTGGTTGGTTGGTCCTATTGAAACAGAGTCTCCCTATATAGCTTAAACTAGCATGGTACTGGCACTCTACCTGCCTTTATCCCCCAGATGCTAGGATTACAGGCTTGCATCACTGTGCTTTGTTTCAAAGATGTTGTTTCTCTGCTAAAAAGGAGGGCATGGATGTGGAAGCCCAGACAGGCAGGTCTCCACCCAGGTCACACAGAGTCCAGGCCTGGGATGCCTACCTTGGATTCCATACAGTCGGTTGAGACGCGACCGTCGGGCCTCATCGGTGTAGGGGACAGCGAGCCATGGCATCTCACTAAAGTACTGTTTGAAAGACTCCTCTGACCTACAGAAAGATGTGGAGAAAATTTCTTTATCCTGTGTGTATTTCTACTTGGTCCTTCCTGTTATCACCAAGTTGTACCAGCTCCTACAGGGTTGGGGTTCCTAACCTCAGGTTCCTAACCTAGCTCCGCAGACACCAAGCTACAGGTGTTTGATACTCTACCCATTCTGCTGTTCACCAAGAAGCAAATACTCCATCCACAAGGTAGATGGCAGCCAGACCATGCCCATATCCCCTTGGCATCCCACCAATTATATCTATGTGCAATTCTTCATCATCAGTGCAGACACGTTTGATTTTATTTTATATTTTATTTTATTTTTTGGTTTTTCGAGACAGGGTTTCTCTGTGTAGCTTTGCGCCTTTCCTGGAACTCGCTTTGGAGACCAGGCTGGCCTCGAACTCACAGAGATCCGCCTACCTCTGCCTCCCAGAGTGCTGGGATTAAAGGTGTGCCACCACCACTGCCCGGCTTGTGTGATTTCTTATCCATGTGCATTACAGTAGTCTTAGCCAGAGTTCGTGACCAGATTGAAGAAAATGAATACATATCCATGCAAAACCGTCAGCACCGTGCCAGCCTCCAGCTCGCTTCCACCCTCCACCCTAGATTTCCCCTTCACAGTCTAGAGAGCTGAACCAAAACTGCATCTTGATTTCGGCTGACCACAACCTGGACTGAAATGGGCCTCAGTGTTTGCAGCGAGGTTTACCTCAGTTAACATCCCAGATCTGTCTCCCCCGAGCCCTACTCTGTGGGCTCCACTGAGGAAGAAATATGAGGTGAAAGAAGCGGGTCTAAGCCGTCATTGGGAAAGCGGTGGCGCTCACACTTCAGGGGTACACAGTACCTGTCTGCGCTGACGAAGATGATCTCAAACTTCTGGCCTGCTTCCTTGATCTTCCGGTAGGATTCCACCAGCACTCGGGTGAGGCTTCGGCAGGGTGGACACTGAAAGACAAGACCCCCTGCCGTGTTATGAGCCTTCTCTACTTCCAGCCACAGGGCCCCTGGGGACCAGACGAGAAGGGGAGGGCAGGGACCACAAAATCCAGTTTATACAGGAGATAAGTAAGCTTGCACCTCTTCATGGCAATCAGTAGACATAGACTCGGCCCAGCCTAGGCAATGTGCAGCAGGTAGCAGTGAGATACCTCCCCATAGGGAGCCTGAGAAATGGCTGTGGAGAGGTCGTTTTCTTTTTTCTTTTCTTTAAAGATTTATTTATTTATTATGTGTACAGTGTTCGGCCTGCATGGATGCCTGCAGGCCATAACAAGGCACCAGATCTCATTATAGATGGTTGGGAGCCACCAGGTGGTTGCTGGGAATTGAACTCAGGACCTCGGGAAGAACAGCCAGTGCGCTTAACCTCTGAGTCATCTCTCCGGCCCGAGAGGCCGTTTTCTTGCTGGTACCATCATTCACAGCATGAGTATTTACTGTCATCAATGAGCAATGGGAACTTCTGCCAGAGTCCCCCACCCCGGGAAGCCAAGCTCTCAGGCACTGTAGTGACAGCCCTGCTTCCCTCAGTCCAAACTAAGGAGAGACCAAACACTCACCCAATGTGCAGAGAAATAGACTCCCACGTGAGACCCCTCCAGGCTGCTGCTCTCCAGTGACTGCCCGTTATTTCTAAGCAAGGGCCCTGCAACGACCTCCCGGAAGGGCTTAGGTCCCCAAGGGAATTCCAGACCTGGAACAGGCAACAGATTGCGAGAATGTCAAGGCTCTTTGCGATGGCCTGGGATCTGGGAGTCCTCGGAACTGTAGGCACAACTTTGTCACCATGTAGTGTTTATGAGCCCAGCCACAGGATCTGCAGCTAAGGCAGAAACAAAAGAACTCAGGCTAGCAAGAGGGTTCCGTGGCTAAGGGTGTCTGGAGCCAGGCCTCACAGTTCAATCCCTGGGATGTGTAAAGAAAGGAGTGAACAGGCTCTGATGGAATCTACACGTACGCTGGGGCATGTGTGTGCCAACAAATACACACAACATACACAAAACAAGTTTTTAGAAAATGTAATTTAAAAAACCTAAGAACTCATCCGTGGCACAGCCTCATTACCACCTAGGCAGAGGTTCCCATGCCCGGGGGATGAGAAGGCCCCTCTCCAGAGGGCTATCTCCGGATGCAGAAGCAAGGTTAAAGATGAACAAGCAGAGGAGAGAGGAGACCAGAGCAGACCTCCTAGGTAACTGACAGATGGCTGGTCTCTAGTACCTGCATCGGATACTACCCTACCCAGACAGCCATTTAATCCCATCCTGCCTGCCTCACGGTTCCCAACCCAGAATGGATACTGGAACCCACTGTGGGATTTTCAAGTATGATGCTTCTGGGCCCCAGAGATCCTAAAGCAACAACAGGCCTGCGCTGGGGCCTAGGGAACCAAGTGAAGATTGAAATGTAATAAAAATGGAAATCTCCAAAACCCAGATGGTCAGCATTCTGACGATACTCAGGCTCCCAGCAGGAAGAGGAACTAACATGTTCCCAGCTCAACACATTATTCTCTCACAGGGTGGTCCATGGCCCACTGCCTCAACATCGCCTGAGGGGTCAGGGATGAGAGTCCAGATAAAAATACAGGTGTCCAAGCCCACCCAGAAACCAGAGGATACAAAACACTATGGAGACAGTGGCTAGGCTGCCTATACTGTTAACAATCTTGGGAGTTGGTGAGGTGTGAGTTCACAATGTCCTGACTTACAAAGGGCAATCCTTCTACATAGGATATCCCCCTCAACCCCCTAACCCCCTTCCTCTCTCAAGTCTCACAAAACAGCTCTGACTAGCCTGGACCTCACTATGTAGATCAAGTTGGCCTCAACTGACAGAGTGCCACCACATACATGCGTCTGCCTCCCAAGTGCTGGGATTAAAGGCATGTCCCACCACACTGGCCTTGCTATCCTTTTTTTTTTTGAGAGAAGCTCAGGTTGGCTTTGAAGGCAGAACCTTCTGAGCCTCCAGAACATTGGGGTTTCAGGTATACACTACTATATCCAGGTGTGTGTGTGTGTGTGTGTGTGTGTGTGTGTGTGTGGTTTTTTTTATTGTAACCAGGGAAGAATCCTCCAGCTGGGGCAGTAAGCAAGGCAGCGGAGATATCACAACTCATTTTCCAGCAGTGTGAGGGGGAAAGCGCAGACCTTGGCCAGACCCCGAGTAGGTGGTCCAGGCAGACTTCCAGTACACAGCAGCTAGCGGGTCAGCATGAGCAAGGCCACCGGGAACTGGGACATAAACTGCAGCAGGCCAGGCAGTGCACTCACCAGAGGCCAAGAGAACAACCCAGAGATGAAGACTTCGCCGGGTGACACGGTGGAACCATCTGAACCCCCAAATCTGAGATTCAAACTTTTTTTTTTCAAGACAAGTTTCTTTCTGTGTGGCCCTGGCTGTCCTGGAGCTCACTCTATAGACCAGGCTAGCCTCAAAATCACATGAGATCCGCCTGCCTCTGCCTCCTGAGTATTGAGGTTAAAGGCATATGACACCACTGTCTGGCTCCCAACTTTTTTGACAGTCAAGAAATTTCAGATTTCAGGCCTCAGTACTCAAGAGGCTGAGACAGGAAAAGGGCACAGATTTGGAGCAGCCTGGACTATGTAGCAAGTTTCAAGGTAGCCTGGGAAAATAGGGAATTCCTGACTCAAATAAATAAATAAACAAACAAATAAATATATAAATAAATCTTGCTGGTCATGGTGGCGTATGCCTTTAATCCCGGCACTCAGAAAGCAGAGGCAGATAGACCTCTGTGAGTTTGAGGCCAGCCTGGTCTACAAAGGGAGTTCCAGGACAGCCAGGACTGTTACACAGAGAAACCCTGTCTCAAAAAACAAAACAAAACAAGAAACCCAATCAATAAAAACAAAAAGTTTCAGATTTGGAGGTTAAGGGCAGTCAGTTGGTAACATATATGCAAATATCCCCAAATCTGAAAAACTCCAAACTCTGAAGTCTTTCTGTTCTCATCCCAACTGAGGACAGAGTCTAGGAATACCTGCCTCAGGTACTCCCCAGGAGGGATTCAATTCTACCCCGCCAGCCCACGAGTCTCAAATTCAAATGTACATGAGAACTCACTGGGGAGGGCCAGTGAGATTGCTGAGCAGGTAAGGGTGCCAGCTACACACTCAAGGACCTTTTGGATAAAGGGATGCACTCTGGTTTATTTACCCGTATCTGTCTACTGTGCATGTGGAAGGTCAGTGGACAGCTTGCAGAGGCTGGTTCTAGGAATGGAACTCAGGTCGTTGGGCTTGGCAGCAAGTGCCTTTACCCACTGAGCCTTCTGCTCTCTCCTCTGTCTGTGTATATTTCTTGTTTTTGTGGAGACAGGGTGTCCCTGTGTATCCCTGGCTAGTCTGGAACTTGCTTGTGTAGACCGGGCTGGTCTTGAGCTCACAGAAACCTACCTGCCTCTGCCCCCTGAGTGCTGGGATTAAAGGTGCACATCGCCACGCCCAGCTTCTCTATATTCTAGAAGAGGACTCCCCGCTACACACATGCACATCGCAGACTCTTATTGCTAAGGCAGCTGCTGTCCCTGAAACAGCACTGGAGGTCAGTATTTGGGTCCTTGCTGCCTTTCAACAGCCTCCCCAGCCCTCAAAGCTCAACATTCCTTCCCGGATCCCATCTGCTTTGGCCCAAGAATTAATGCCCCCTGGAGGGACATTCTGAGCCTTTAAAAATCTTAACCACGACCTGGAGAATACAGTAATTTCATCAAGAAATTCTCTAGCCATGTAAACCTACTTACAGTACTTCATTAGTATTGCTGTCGGGGGGTGGGGGTGGGGGGGTGGAGATGGGGTGGGGGTTGGAAAGTCAGGCACGCCCAACTTACCTTCTGGGTCATCTCGGATCACCAGGAGCCCATTCCTGCACACGACCTTTCCTGTCGTAGCATCTAGGAATATTAGCGACGGAATGTTGGAGATTCGGTATTTGTTCCAAAGTTTAAGCTATAAAAAGAAAAGTATGATAAGGTGGTTAAACCCAAACGAAATTAATTGCAGCGTTCTTTCAAGTCCCTCAGCCCCAGGAAGAGATGAGTGGAAAAGCTTTAGAAAGGAAAAACGATATGGGAATAACTGGTTCAAATCAGAGCTGCCGGGCAACGGGGATGGTTAAATTATAACTCCACGTGCCCCTATGGTCTTGTAGGTGTGGAGGACCCTGAGGCCTAGAAAGGCTCATGCTGTGACAGAGGTGGTTGACAGAGGGACATTTAGTCTCTTACCAGTCCCCAGGGAACACCTGAAAGTCACAATAAAGAACTGCCATCTTTGGAGAACAATGGGACCACTACTTCCCAGGTGACTTGGGAAAGAAGGGCCTCCACCCAGCAGCAGCCAGTCACCAAGCAAGGAGAAGGGGACAGGCTTCTTAACAAGAAGAAGTCGTTAAAATGTGCTGCTCTCTACACTTGTCCAGGCCTGTGATTGGAATAGCATCTTTGCTATATATTTGTGCCATTTGTCTTGCTGAACGCAGGCAAAAAAACCTGCCCCAACCCTCAGCCCTCGGTGCCACTCCAAAGAGCCTCCAGTCTGCTGGCAGATGTTGACATTGGCAGGGAGAACTATTAGGTCTAAGAAGAAGGATGCTGAGAACCTGGGAACATCCAAGTCCTGGCAGAAGCCAGATTTTCCCAGGCTCTGTTGCTTGTTCATGGCCATGGGGCGAAGACTCTTTCGGTGGGCTGCTGCGTTCTCGGAAATGTAACCACCAAGTTGTCCTAGCACCAAAACCACGAAGGGAACTGTTGGGTTAGCTACATAGCTACAAACAGAAAGAAGCAAAACACAGATGCTCGAGGGTTGTAGGATTCCCTTCTGGGGGACCTGGGAGTCCAGGCAGGGAGGCTTAGCCACTGGCCAAATAGTGCAAGGGTATGTGGAAGGGCAACAGACCCCAGAAGGGGAAGGAGCATGTGGCTGGGGCTCTGATGGTATTTCATGCAATTCCAGGCAGAGTATCTGCCAAGAAACTGGAGGCTTCTCAGTCTATAGAGACACAAGGCTTGGCGGAAGGCTTGTTGGATCCTGCTTCAAACTGGGTGGCCATGCTTGATTGCTTACCAGCCCCACATTTCCAGTGGGCTCACAAAACAGCCTCTTTTTTTTTTTTTTTTTTTTTTTCGAGACAGGGTTTCTCTGTGTAGCTTTGCGCCTTTCCTGGGACTCACTTGGTAGCCCAGGCTGGCCTCGAACTCACAGAGATCCGCCTGGCTCTGCCTCCCGAGTGCTGGGATTAAAGGCGTGTGCCACCACCGCCTGGCACAAAACAGCCTCTTAACAAGAGTGGCTGTGAGCGGCTGTGCGCAGCTTCAGGACCACCATTGCATCATTCCACCCATACCTGATGCTGGGCTCAGATCAAGCATCTGTTTATTGTTAATTGTTTTAAGACCAGGCCTCACCACGTATATAGCTGAGGTTGACAGCGTTAGCTATGAAACTCAGGCTACCCTTGAACTCTGATCCTCCTGCACCAGTCCTAGCCTTTGATGAAACTTTTTCCCCCCAGCTTTTTGAGACAGGGTTCCTCTGTGTAGCCCTGGCTGTCCTGGAACTCACTCTACAGACGAGGCTGGCCTGGAATTCTGAGATTTGCCTGCCTCTGCCTCCTGAGTGGCACCCAGCATATTCATGAAACACTTCAGAGGTCTGACAACAAACAAGACATTCCAGTGAAATTAATAACTTAAATTTGTAGTGCCCGAGTCTAACCAGGTTACTTAAAGGTGTCCAAGGCAGGGGGAGGGTTGTGCACTGGAGAGACAGCTCAGCAATTAAGAGTACTTGCTCCACAACCATGAGGACTGGAGTTCAGATCCTAGCACCCATGTACCAAGCCTTATACAAATGTCTGTAACCCTAGTTCCAACAGGAGCAGATAGGAGGATCACTGGGGGCATGCTGGTTTCCAGCCTAACTGAGACTCAAGACCCAGGTATAGAGAGAGACCCTGCCTCAAAGAAATAAGTGAGCATCAGAGGAGGGCCCACAATACCCTCTTCTTTGTCGGTACACATACATGTACATTTTCTGCCCCCCTATACACAAAGGAAGGAAAGAAGGAAGAAAGGAAGGGGGGAAGAAGGAATGAAGGAAGGAAGGAAGGAAGGGGGGAAGAAGGAAGGAAGGAAGGAAGGAAGGAAGGAAGGAGAAAAAATTTTAAACAGGAAGACTGAGATCACTGAATTGAATTTTTGTTGTTTAAGATGTAATTCTTGAGGAGGAAAAAAGCTGCCACTTCAAAAAATTTGGAAAACAGCAAATCACAAAAATGAAAAGAGTTAACCCAGGATCCGTTGCTTGGGAAAGCTGAGACCATGCTCTGCTCCCTCCAGCAGCAAGGGAGAGAGCCCATTTCCTAGCTCCCTTGCCAACGTTATCACAGATGCCAGTTCTTCAGATCTGATGGAGAAGATGCACCTCGATTTCCTGGCTATCTGTGGACTATTCCTTTATACTGTGTGAATACATGTCACTGTGGTTGGGTTAATAAGAAGGTGACTGGCCAACAGCTGGACAAGTAGAGGTTGTGCGGGACTTGCAGACAAGAAGAGCATGAAGAAGAAAGGGAGGAGTCTCAGAATCTCAAGCAGATGTGGAAAGAAGCAAGATGAATGTACCATGCTGAAAGAAGGTACCGCCATGTGGCAGAGGGTAGATAAGAACTATGGGTTCATTTAAGTTATAAGAGCCAGTTAGTTACAAGCCTAAGCTAGCAGCCAAACATTTATAATTAATAAATCATCTCTATGTGGTTATTTGGGAACTGGCTGGCAGGACAGGAAAGCCCACCTACAGCTATCTTATACTCACTGATGTTAGCACACACATAGCTAGTAATATATTGTCAGCTCATATACAGTTAACGACACATCAGGTTTTCTTCTTGTACATGTTCTAGAACCGGCAAGTGTTGAGATTCACTATGCAGCTATAAACTGAATGCCTACTACATGCTAAGCCTCTTTTAAACACAAGAGGCATGAGAAAGAACAAGGCAGATGAAATTACTGCCCTGGTAGAGTTTCTGCTCTCATGGGTGAAAAAGACAATAAATAAGAATAGAAATGGAGCAATAACTTCAGACACTTGTAGGGACTAGAAAGAAACCCCTGCAGGGAGAGCGCAAAGGTGTGCTTAGAAGAATGGCCCACATAGACACACACATGTACATATATACATATACATACACATACACACATACACACACACACACAAGCACACATTTATGATGAATGACATGGGGACACAGACTTTCTGTTTGTTTGTTTGTTTGTTTGTTTGTTTTTTCGAGACAGGGTTTCTCTGTGTAGCTTTGTGCCTTTCCTGGAACTCACTCTGTAGACCAGGCTGACCTCGAACTCACAGAGATCCGCCTGGCTCTGCCTCCCGAGTGCTGGGATTAAAGGGGGATTATAAAAAAAAGAAAGAAAGAAACTAATGATGACAGCAAAAAGAAATAGTGAGATCAGTGTCCAGGCAGCCTGGGCTCTAGATGCTTGTTAGAGATGCTGCCTCTGCTAGATGACAAGGACTCAATGCAGACTGTTCCCCCCCAAGGTCAGCACAGATAGTTTTTCTCGAAGGATCTACCATGGGGAAGTAAGAACTCCAATAACCCTTGTCTGCCCTCCTACCTAGAGGGGAGTGCTCCTTCCTCCGTGGGTCTTAGGAGGGTAGCAGCTCATGGCTCCTATTTCCAATGATTGTTGATCTTTGCTTCCAAGTACCAGTCCACTGGCTTAGGGGAAACATTTGTTGCTTCTATGCTTATAAGGGACACTGAAAAGTTCAGCCTTTCATAGTCTAACCCATCATGGTCTAATTTTATGACAGTGATTTATTTAGGAACTTATTCATCAGCGAGCTCTGTCTGTGGCTGGGCACAGACTTTCTCAGGCTGTAGATCAAGGTTACTCGGCTCAGAAACAGTGCAGAAGGCCCAGAAACAATCATTCTGACCTTTTCTTTTTTAATATTTAAATATTTATTTATTTGTATGTGTATGAGGGATTTTTTTTTGCTTGCATTTATGTCTGTGCACATGTGTGCCTGATTCCCCTTGGAGACTAGAAGAGGGTGCCAGAGCCCTAGGAACTGGAGTTCCAGATGCAGTGTGCCTCCATGAGGGTACTGGGAATCAAACCCGGCTCCTCTGGAAGAGCAGGCAATGCTCTTAACTGCTGAGCCATCTCTCCAGCTGTTCTTTTCCCTTTTTAAAATTTCCACACATATGTACATATCTGCGTGAGTGTTCACTACTTGTGTGCAGGTACCCATAGAGGCCTGAAGAGGGCATCAGATGCCCTGGAGCTGGAGTACAGGTGGTTGTGGGTCTCCTGATGTGGGTGCTGGAGCCACACTCAACGTCCTCCAGAAGAGGACACCCTCTTAACCAATGTGCCTTCTTTCCAGCACCTCACCCCTGATACCTGATTAGATCTTAATACCAGAACCAGAAAGTTGGCCCTTAGGTTGGAGCGGCATCTTTGCCTAAGCTGAGGACTCTATCACACTGAAAGGATATGAGAAACGCTTGTGCGTCAAGAATCATTCACTCTGACTTCAAGTCCACTAAAGGTTTCCCAGAGGCCTCTAAAAACAGGCTTCTTAACCACTGGAGGGAGGGTCATACATACATTTCTGTTGTAGAAAAATGTACAGATAAACTGGGAGGTGGTGGCATATGCCTTTAATCCCAGCATTTGGGAGGCAGAGGCAGGCAGATCTCTGAGTCCGAGGCCAGCCTGGTCTACAGAGTGAGTTCTAGGACATCCAGGCTACACAGAGAAACCCTGTCTCAAAAAAAAAAAGAAAAAGAAAAAAAAGAAAGAAAGAGAGAGAGAAAGGGAGGGGAGGGAGGGAAGAAGGAAGGAAGGAAGGAAGGGAGGAAGGAAGGAAGGAAGGAAGGAAGGAAGGAAGGAAGGAAGGAAGGAAGGAAG